ATAGAATCCCTTAATTATCTGTAAATACTATTACACCGGGCCTAGAGTGGGAGACTGGCAACTCTGCCAAATGCTAGAAGAGGTAGATTATCTGCAGGTCTGTGTTCATTGCTCACCTTTAATAAAGTCTTATTAAAGGAGTTCTAAAGTCCCAGCATATACTATCCTGTTATAACATGAGCATTGTAATAAGAATACATTCTAGAGTTGTCTTTGATAATGCAATCAAAGCTTACTAGAAGAAAATCCCTTTTATGTAGTGAGTGCTGCCTTCCGTCTGCCCATTACTTTTATCAACCTCCTAATTACCTGGATTCCCAGTGTACTTTGCACTCTGCTTTTTCCCTGCAGCTTGATGTGATACAATCTCAATAAGTCAAGATTACATATCCCATCATGCATTGCTTCCAGCAAGCAATGATCATGTAAAATTATTCAGGTGTTGAGTTGTAGTTCAGAAACCAGGCTTTGTGAGTTGTGACACAAGGAAGTGCGTATTCACAGGGCTGAGTGGAATTGTGTCAGTGCATTGAGGAAGTACATCCTTTAATGAGGCAGCCTGAGGTTGTTGCCTCATGTGGCATCTCTTTGGGTCACGTGGCCGGCGGCAGGCAGATCGGCATGTTTGTTGTATACTGGCCGCTCTGCTGCACAATGTTCTCAGTTTGTCTGCCACCCCCTTTTTGACCAGAATGTCCCAGGTTGCTAAGAGTCGGGTGGGGAGATGTATAAGGGTCATACAGATCTTCCCACCCAGCTCTAAACAACTTAGGAAGCTCTGGCCGGCGACCCGCGCAGCTTCCGGCAACCAGTGACGTCAGTGGTTGCCAGGAGCTGGGCGTGATGCCAGCCAGAGAATCTCAGGTTGCTAAGAGCTGGGGGGAGATGCAGAGCCTGCAGTGGGCAGCATCACTCTTGTGTCTGGCGACTCTGTCTCCTGTACCCACCTCCTGCTGCTCTGATTGCATGCACCCCCCACCCGCACCTCTGGCGGCAAAAAGGCTAGGGACACCACTGAGTACATCCTATGGGCATCTTCAGTAAGTAAGTTTACAAACTTCTAGATTGATATGGTTATGAAGAGTGGGCTGGAACTTATGGAAATTCAGTATAAAAATTCTTATTTATTTTTAGTTTTTGACAACAGATACCCTTTAAAATAAGGGATGTTTCTTTGAAATAAAGGAAGTGGCAAGCCTAGTCATCAGCCTTATTGAGTTTTCCCAATTTAGATATATACAGTATATATTTTTTACTCTGATATTAGTCACACCTCCAGCCAAAGAATACTTTAAATATATTTTCTTATGTTATATATTTCAAAGCTGGCCGCAAGTAATAACAACGTGTCCAGCTGGGGTTTGAATTACTACATTCTGTTTGATATACATAACTTGAATCACAAAAGAGCGTGCCGGTCTCCTGCATGGAAAATACCATTGTAGGTTACTTTAACGCTGTGCTGTAGGATCCTGCAATTCACAAATTAAATTAGACATATTGATATGACAAATAAAGCTGGATTAAAACAAAAAAATAGTTTTTAGTCTCCATATGTTGGCCTGTATTGTAACTTCCAAACAATACCCCATACTCACAGGATTAATGAGGAGCCCTTTTTCTTATTTGTGGACAGAGAAAAGAGTGACAATAAATGTTCTTTCGAGCACCCTGTTTTGTACATTTAAAGTGCTTTTTTACAGTGTATAGTGGCTCACTGTGGTGTCAGACGAGGTCTGCTTTAATAAAAAAAATAAAAATAGGATGCCTTTGTTTTGAAGGCTGAATGCCATCCTTCCATTAGAGGATATGTAGCGCAGTCCTTTTGTACGGAGAAAATGTTCCGCACTTAATAAAGGAATCTCACACTAGAGGCTCGCTATGGAGAATGATATGGAAAATGTCTCATCATCCAGCTGATGGATTTGCTACGCTGAATGAAAAACTCTGAGTGTCTCATTATGTAGGAACTGGGTGCCGTTCCAGGCTAGGCCCTAATGCAAAATTCATTGAAACTCCTTTCTGGAGAGCCAACACCTCATATGGGGGTGCGGAGAGCAGTAGAGGGTTTAAAGAATTCTCAGTGCTGCCTCAGTGATGAGTTAAGGATGAATTAACCCCTTCACTGACATTGAAATATTGTTCTATCCACTGGAAGTAGATCTGCTGGAAGTAAATATGAGTAACTGTGGACTACAAGTGAAGTGAGCTAGTCAGTAACGTTATAAACAAAACATTGCAGTTTTGCTAACGTTAGAAAACCAACTCTTACTATTACCTTTAAAGTAGGGATGAGCGAATCTTGCCTGGAGTTTATGAACTTTACGGTGAGCCTATTGAAGTCTATGGAGGGTGAATCTTATACTTAAAAAAATCTATATTGTAGGGCTCATAAACAAGCTATTGTCGCACATAAGGCATGAGAAGCCAGACACTGATATGCTAAAATTAATTCAATACATTTTTAAAATTAATTAAACAAAAAAATATCTCTTTACACAATATTGTCAGCCCTCTCTAACAGCTCCAACACATAATAAAATTTGACTGCTGTGGGGCCATCCTTTTTTCTAAAAAGGGAGCTGGATTATCCATTTATTCAAAAGATCGGCTCTTGTGAGTCAGATCACCAGGGAAAAGACTATGCACTGCGTTACAGGTTGTAAAAATACTGTGCTGCGCTATTAATCACACACTACAATTATTACTAGAAAAAAAATATACACACACACACACATATATATATATATATATATGTATATATATATATATATATATGCACAGGGGGTTATTCACAAAGCTTATTCCTTTGGCTAGCTTCGGCAGCCTGAGCCCTTCGGTTCAGTAGAACCGAAGAGCTGCTGTACGGGCTATTCACTATAGCCCATACAGCTCCCGAAGCTGGCCGAGCAGCTCAATCGAGCCGAAGGCATATGCTTCGGCTCGACTGAGCCGAAGCGAAACCCGAATTGGGCCGAGTGGCCGGCCATTAACCGGGCGGAAGCCTCGCAACTGACAGCTGGGCGGAGCCAGCCGTGATCTCACGGCCAGTTGCAATGACAGTTCATCGTCCCTTGGTTACCAGGTAACCAGGGGACGCTGAACTGTCATGAGAGCTCATCGGAGCCGGCCTTGATATCATGGCCGGCTACGCTGAGCTCTTATTGTAATGACAGTTCAGCGTCCCCTATATTAATGTCCATTCAACAATAAATATCTTCTTCACACAATTATTTAGTGTTTAATATGCAAATATTCCAGTATTATATAAAATTCTAATATTATTCCAAAATATATATATATATATATGTTACTGTATATGCTCTTCCTGGACAAAACCTCCTCTCTTTTTTTTTATATCCTCTCTATTATGGAACTTTCTATTATATAAATACCTGTAATAAATAAAGAAACAGATTGTTAATCACAATTTTGGTCCCTCTAGGCCTAACAGTTCTTGACTGTGTGCACAAATGTATGACTGTAAGAGACTCACCGTCTCCCGTCCCGGAATAACGATACGGGACCGCGCATGCGCACAACGGGCCAGGGCTGCCTCTCTCAGCGCACGCGCACGTCGGCTCGTGGCTCCTCCTGGCGCAAGCGCAGGAGCCCTCTTAAGACGCGGCCACACGAATCTTCGGCGTCCTACTGTTTGCAACAGTGAACGCCGAAGATTCACGCTCTGCAATCCGCAGACCGATTAGGCGGACCTCTAAATAGCCAGCTATTCCCTCACAGTGAAGGAGCCCCGAATCCTCTACCATCCAGCACAGGGGGACTGACACCCAGGAGCCAAGCATCAATCAGCTAAACACCCACTTGGAGTGCCAGCAGCAGCAAGCCTCACAAACAGCAAGTATCTGCTACTACTCTCCCATTAACCATAACGTTAGCAATTGCTTAAACTGGTTTAGTCATATCATATATAAGCAACTGTGTGAATTGACTGTAGATCAATACTATCACCACGTAAAGTTGTTCTATGGTAATACTGGACTCTCTGAGGCAAAACCTTGTATACAATTTGCACTAGTACTTGTCTACATAAATAATCTGTGAATTGATTTAATTAACCTAAGGGGAGATAGTGGATTAAGCACTAGTGCTCAGTACCATACTTCACCACCGGGTGTCTACCTCAAAGTTAACCCTCTCACCCCCAGTAACTACAACTTTAGATACCACGGTTCTGAATGATGTGACATGTCTCACACACTGCTCTAATTTCATGAGAGAGTAAAAGCCGAGACCCCTTACTGAACAGACCGTGAGGTACACACTCCGCAGTTGAGATCCTAGGCTTGCATTGCAGAGTTGTTACAATGACATAGATCAGGTCCCTGCTGCAGCCTCTAACCCTGTTAGCTGCTTCGTAGTTACAATGTGTCTGCAGAAGGAGGAAATGCTTCTCCTGCCTGCAGTTTATGACATTTATTTTACAAATCTTAGCCTAAGCAAAGTCACTTTACAAGAGCACAAGGATGGCTTTGCAATGATAAAAGAAACAACAGTTTTGGATATTGACACTGTTGCTGTTTATCATGACCTGTCAGGAATTTATTCATGTAGACTGATAATGTTACTAAAAGATCCACTTGAACTTCTTGATGCGTTCAAGGTATAAATTATTCATTTATTGATTTAGAGATGACAATGTTTATGACAGGCCATATCAGTTTTTTATTAAAAAGGTCAACTAATCAGATGTCAGAAGACCTCATACAAGTGTCTGATGGAAAATGGTTATTGCTTCTCACTTTTATATTTCTAATGTAGTATAGGAGAATCTGTTTGCTTGCTGTGATGGGAGCAAATGTTCTCCCATCAGGCACTTTTATTCCAGAAGTCTAATATACTTTTCGTACAGTGTTAGATGTCTTAATCTAACTAATCAGAGGAACATGAAGCAATTTGGAAGCTTCCACAATATAGATGTGTTTTTACAATGCATACCTTTACTTGTCTATATATTTTAAAATGTACCCATTTTTCTTCAGATGGGAAGTTGATGCTGACTATTGTGAAGAAGTGAAGCAGACTCCTCCATACGACAGTGGTACAAGACTTCTAGATGTCATCGATATGACTATATTTGACTTTCTAATGGGTAAGAGATTTGCTTAAAAAGGCAATAGACATATAAAAAACACTTACCCATACAGTGGCAGAGACAGACCCTTCACTAACCAAGGCACGGTACTTCTCTTCTTTATATCACTTCCATACATTGAATCTAAAATATTTCAGATGATTCACTTATTAGCTGGAACAATGGGCGATTTAAAAGCAATACATGTATTACATCTCTAATCCAACATCTAATAATCCAAAATAAAGAACTCCCTGAGAGGTTAGACTGTACTATAATAACATTTCAAGAGTTTCAGATTATATCAAACACAACAAGCCCCGTATTTTGTAAGAGCAGGTTAAAATTAAAGTGTATCTGAATTCAAGAAGTGAAAATGTGATATGTTATAGGGGACATCCAGATAGAGTTAGGATGGCCTTTCAGCTTGAGACTCTTGTTCTGGCAGGGGGAGAATACAAGTAAATAATACAAAATAAAGTCATGCCTTAGGGGTAAGACTGCAGTATAATAACAGTCAAGTATTTTTGATTATATCAATCACAACAAGTGACATATTATGTAAGAGCAGATTGGAATAAAGGGGACATAAATCCAAAAAGTGGAGATTTGATATGTTATAGGGAAGATCCAGAAAAGTAATTGTGCCTAAGCAGTGCCCTGATAGATTTACCTTTTATCTTGAATTCTGCCTGAAAATAGCAGATCATTTGCTGGCACATGATTGTGCCTAAGCCATCCTGTTCTGTAGTCTCCTGCCTCACTGTATATGTGCAGTGTGTGATCATCTAAGGCAGCGGTAGCCAAACTCTGGCCCTCCAGCTGTGGTGAAACTACAAATCCAATGATGCATCCCTCCCCGGGAGTCATGTCTGTGAGAATATTGTAATGCCTCATGGGATTTATAGTTCCACCAAAGCTGGAGGGCCAGAGTGTGGCTACGCCTAATCTAAGGCACTTCTACCTCTGTCTGCCAGTCTTAGACAAGATTTGGAATTAAGTTTGGTGATAATACTACTGTGCTGCTGAACCTGCACTGCCCGCATATCCTTGCTTTTACACCATTCATTCTATGGTTCTCTTCTACACCTCTTGTGTTGCTTCTTGTATATTCCCCCATCAGTCATCAGATCCTCAGTCATTGGAATGAGGAGGGGGATATAGACATATAAAGCAAATCGCTTCTCCTCTACCATGATGGCCAACCCCCACACACAGGCACTGCTTGAACAAGACAGGGTAGGTAAAGCCAATAGCCAATACTGATGACTAGTCCTTTACACTCTGCTTGCAGTTTTTTCCACCACACAGTACAGGTCCTCTTTAAGCAGCGGCTAAGGAGCTACAAATTTCCAGCTTCTGCTTTCAGCTAAGACGCATTTAATGCATTTAAAGGGTTTCTGAAAATAAAATCAGTAATTATAACAACCATTCTTTATTTCACAAATAAATGATTAAACGTAATTTCACATTTACGGAACAATTTAAACCGAATTTACTGTGCTACACGTTGTATGGATGTGTGCTTCTTTCTTCTTAATTAATGGAATAAAACTATGATAACTGTGCAGTTATTTAGCATTATTCATATCTACTCCATTTTCACAGACACTTTTACTCTCTGCTTAATGGGAATTTATACAGCCTCTTTATCCATAACCATGACACAATAGTTCTGTTGTTCAACTTATCCCGAGCTTAGTTGCAGTCAGTAACTATGAATGGGGCTTATGGCTTCTGCCAACAAAAAATATATGATGCCAACGACATTGCAGGGATTTTACCCTCTGATTCTGGATGTGTTTGATTACAGTACACTTGAAAGGCTACATAAACTGTCATCTAAAAAAATTCTTCATGGGCCTTTTTTTTTTTTGCATATTATATAATAACTGGAATGTGTTACACTTTTCCTTTTAACTACAGAGGAAGTTTCAGCCATCTGACTGTGTTGCTGTAGGGCAAGAAGCTAGGAGACGAACAATAAAAAAAAAATCATCAGCTTAAAAAGCTCAAAACTGCCAATGGAAATTAGAATTTGAAAATATTAGAATTCTTTTTCTTTTAGCTACTTAGTTGTTAGAGAATTTTGCAGAGATTACTTTTCTGTTGTAGGATGGTTAAAGAACATGAACGTTAATCTTTTCAGCATGTTAGCATTTAGAGGAGTAGCTGGACAAGAGGGTGGCAGGGTTGTAAACTAACATAACATTTCACAGCCCATTCTTCCAAGGTGTAAGCGATTTTATCAAAAATGCTCCAATTTTAGTTAACCCACCTGAGTGCAAAATTGAGAATCCCAGATTACAGCCTATCGAAGCTAATTTACTTTGGATCTAAATGTAATGTCCTTTTTGGCAGCTTTGTGTCTGTTAAAGAGAACCTGCCCTTACAAAAATGGTTGCAGGTGTAAAATGTGGGCACCACATACCTGCAGCAGCTTCTAATAACCTGCTGACAGGCAAAGCTGTACAATTTGGGAGCTTATCACTACCTCCCACCCTATTATAGTGATGGGTCTCCTCACTAGCCAGTGAAAATATGCAGTAAACAGCAACAATCTTTGTCCCTCCAAGGACTTGCATGCAACAGCAGAATTGAGGGAGGCATTGTGTGGATGCATTCTATACCTGCTTTTGCTTTTTTTTTATGCAAGAGTCTCTTAAACTGGCCATATACAGCTCAACTAGGGCAGCTAAATTGGCCAAGATTCCTCTATCCACTCTGTTAAGCTACCTACAAAAAAAGCAAAGATATAGCCAAAACTATAGTTGGAGGAAATCTCCCAAAGTGAAGGGAATCCCCTACCTAGATAGCAGTGTCACCATTGAACAATTTCTCTTTACCTCATGTTTTGTGGACAACTGTAAAATTTTGGCTTTGCCCTCAAGTTCTTTCTTAATGGCAATGATCACCAATGCAAAAATGCCTTGTAGCATTGGGGGTCCCTGGTTCAAATCCCAGTCAGGACACTATCTGCAAGGAATTTGCATGTTCTCCATTGGCTTTTGTGAGTTTCCAACAGGTACTTAATTTCCTCCCACATTCCAAAGAAATGCTGGAAAGTTAACTGGCTCCTGTCTAAATTCTGTATGTATTGAATGCAAGATAGGGACCTTTGATTGTAAGCTCCTTGAGGGCAGGGGCTGTCTAAATTGCCTCTGTATGAATGTGAGCTAGGGACCTTTGACAGTAAGCTCCTTGAGGGCCCATCCACACCATATCAAGGGTGTCCCGGTGAAGTTCGCACCCAGAACATATGGGATCGTATACATGATGATGCATGCACTATTTTTTTCAGATCGCACGGCACTGGAATGGTACGGCCAATCACACTGTGTGTGTGGGGTGGGGGGGTGTCTGCAGTGCCATTGACGTTAATGGCACCGACACGCCCCCTCTCACCACAGAACACGGCCCAGCTTCATGCATGCAATCCAGTGCGTTCCAGGCGCGAACTGCATCGGGACACACTGGATATGGTGTGTGGCTGGGCCCTGAGCCAGGAGCTGTCTAAATTGCCTATGTGTGTATGTGATATTAGGGACCTTTGATTGTAACCTCCTGGAGGGCAGGGACTGATGTTAATGTGCAACTATGTAAACTGATGGTACTATATAAATACCTGTGATAAATATGTGTTCATGCAGTGGGTGAGGGTGTTTTTGTATGTTGTCAGAAAATTGTTTTGCATGAACTTATTTTTAATGGATATTGTGTAAAAGAGATATAAAACTTTGTCATTTTTTAAAATTTCTTTCTTGTTGAAGAGATTTCCCTTGACTTCCCATTCTGGAAATCTCCCAAAATTGACTGCTTGTCCAAACTTGGACAGTTATCAATGGAACAGATGTCCCCATTGGGGTTTTTTCTATGACCTACTGTTTTGGTGACTGCTGCCAAATTTTGCATTTGCCTTCACTTTCTGTCCCATTGACAACTGTTACATAGACTGGAAGTGGGGATGCATCTCCTGACCGCATCTCTACTTGATCTAACACTAAGAAAGTCAAGTGTAAGTCTTGTCAGTGGTTGGGCTACAACAGGAATATGTAGAAAGTTTTTTTGGTTCATTTCCTTTCCTTCCTTTCATTTCCCCATTGCTTGCTCCCCCGCACAGAAGCTTTGAAACCATGGGACTGTGAATGTAGCTACTTATAAATGTGTAAAATGTTGCTAAGACCTCACATGTTAACTGCCAACATAGCTTAAGCTGGGGATTAATGTAATATAAATCATGTAGTATACAGTAGCTAACAGTAAACGTTTCCTAACGAGACAATTATATCTGTCCGTAGGGAATATGGATCGCCACCATTATGAGACCTTTGAGAAGTTTGGAAATGAAACGTTTATCATTCACTTGGATAATGGAAGAGGGTAAATATCCAGGAATCTTATTTTCGAAATGTGTTTTTCTAAACATGAGCAGTTATAATATGTACATAATTCTAGATCTTTCCTGGACTATTGTGCATGTTTAGGTATAGTAACTGGTGTTTTGCAATGTTATACTATATTACTCTTTTTAGGATTAGATGTTTGCCAGTTACTCCTTGCTGCTAAAATTAATTTAAAAGCTGAACTCTAGATAATATCTAAATGAAGAGTTGAAATACAGTATGTGTAATGTGTCATCTGTCAAAGGATTTGTAATTCTGTCCAGCAACATTTGTGATTCATACACCTCTTCTAGGCCAGTGAAGCTGGGAGGGCGACACCACTTTCTCTGTTAAAATTAACCCCTTAGTGACCAAGGCCTTTTTTTCCCCCGTTTTTTTTGTACCCATGATAATCCACATTCTAGGCCTGAAAATTACTTCAACCCCCGAGACATTATATATTTTCTGAAAGCCAAGACGCTGTAGAATACAATGTTGGCAGTTTAAAATGTTTATGTTGCACGATATTAGTGCAACGTATTATCAAAATGTAGTGAAAAATGCCCTTAAATGCACCAAAACCCAATTAAATACCCACGTTGTAAATACAATATAAAAGAAGGGGTTACAATGAGTAAATAGATACCCAACATGCCCAGGTTAAAAATTGTGTGCGTTCGTGAATTCAGTACCCCAAAAAGTCAGTAGATGACGCTTTAAAGCCCCCACAGGTCATCAGTTTAGAGATGCGCATACATATTGGCCTTAGAATTATTGCTCTCACTCCGGCGTGTGCGGCGATACCCAACATGCCTAGCACGATCGTAGTTTTCATACGTAGGCGAACCCGACACGTGTTTATGTAAAGACTTGCGTGCTCGGTGGGGCCGGGGACTTTAAAATAAAAATTGTCAATTATTTTAACGTTTATTTAATTTAATATTAATTTTAACAACTGTTATTTTTTTTACTTTAATTGCTATTACGTAGGGGGTTTTACAAGCCCCAATAGCATAGTAGTGATGACAGGTCCTTTTTAAGGTGATAGTGGGGGCACTGGAGTGCAATAAGCAGCATTTTCACATCAGCATAGGGGGTGCTTTAAAGAGATGAAAAGGTGTAAAAGTGAAAATACAGTTAACCTCCATGCAAAATGTTTTTTTGGTTTTGGCTTAGCGCATTATAAATGTATATCTGATAGGGCAGGGGTGCAGCATGTTGTTCTATTTTTACAAGCATTGTATATGGCAGTGAATATTTCCCCTTCCCCATCTGTTGTGCTTCTACATTGTTTCATGACAAAAACCCAGCAGCCAGCAGCATTTGCATGTTACGTAATGAGTTATTTTTGTTGCATTCAGCTGCTTTTCAGAGATTTCTTAAACTTTGTCTTTATTAAAATGAGGCATCTATGGTTACCATGGTAATACCACTTTGTGCTGCCTGCTATGAGGTTTATTATGACCTTGCATATAGCTCTTATAAATGCTGACATTGACTGAATGTGGTGTACATCTGGAGTAAGAAAAAGAATGTGGAACATAAAAACTGAAATATATATACGTTGCTTTATTTCTACACATTTTACACTGAACCTAACACATATATACCAGTGAGTTTTTTTTTTTTTTTTAAACAAGCAAATTCAACTAAGTGACATGTTCTTATTTGGATAAAACTCTAGTTTAAAGCAGAATTTTTTTTTTGGATAAACCCTTGCAGTGGGGCTACCTCTGCACTGCAAGCATAAAGTGCTTGTTTGTGTCTGGGTGAAATATAAACAAAGATATACTCACCCAAAGTTCCCCAAATATTTTTTGAAATGTAAATAAATGTTAAATCTAAAAACAAAGTAACGTTTTTTTAAAAGGAAAAAAAAAATTGGCAGTGACAGCTAGCTCCGCCCAACTATTTCATATTGGCCTATAAAGTCTTCTAGCAGCTCCCGTCCTGCTCCCCCCAGTTGTCATTGTTTAATGACAGTTCAGCGTCCCCAGGTCATTTAGGGACGCTGATCTGGCTCCGCCCTGCTGTCATTTTCAAAGCATTCGGCCGGCCTTCGACTGTCACTTCGGCTCAGTCGAGCCCAAGCATATGCCTTTGGTTCAGCTGAGCCGCTTGGCCGCCTTAAGGAGCTGTACGGGCCATAGTGAAGCTTCGGCTGATCCTTCGGCTAGCTTTGTGAACCCTCTTAATTGTATTACTCAACCACAGCAGAGAAAAGTCAAGTTCCCAGGCCTGTGTTATCTAGCAGGGCTGTGAGAAAGGCAGGACTGAATGGACAGAAATACATGACATAGAGAGCTCACCATTGGAGTCCTTAGGTGACAACAAGGTGTAGGGTGATACATTCCACCAGGCTCCACCTGCACCTTAAATACTGACACGTTAGTATGGTATTATAACGTATGAATTTAGATATCCCATGAGAGTTGCAGTTCTATTCAGCACTAGACATGTGCAATTTGTTTTGGAAAGATTAGTTATTCAGACGAATTTTCGTTATTCAGAGAATCGGATATACCCGAATCTCCGAATGACAGGAATGATGAATGAAAACGAATCCGAATTTCAGATAATTAAAATTTCTGACGAAATTCGTTAGTGGTAGTATGTACGAATTTTCATTCCGGACGAATTTTCATTGCAGCAAAGTGATGTTAGACAAAAGGGGAAAAAAATTACGCAGAACATTGGGTTCCACAATGCAAATAAGCCCCCCCACAACCAATGCCCTAAGGCTTGTAGGGAAGAGGGCCTTCTCGGCACAAGGACAAGGTGCTTTTCCAGGGGGACCCTGGAAAAGCACCCTCCCAGTGCAGAGGGCATGTGGCCTGGTATGGCAGGGGGGGTGGTGCTCGCTCGTTCCCTCGTTTCTGGCCCTGTTAGGCCTGTGCTCGGATTAATCGCCAGGTAGGAATTTTAGGGGGGACATGCCTTTTCCCCCATTTGGGGGGGGATTGGGGTTCCCCTTAAAATTCCTACCAGCCCTAAAGGGCCTGGTATTACTTTTGGGGGGAACCCCACACACTTTTTTTTTATTTTCAACTTGGTGGGGTCCCTCCTAACATTCCTACCAGACCTAAAGGGTTTGGTATGAATCAGGAGGGGAACCTCATGCTTTTTTTTTCTGCAGGCTGTAAAATAAAATGTAATTTTAACCAAAATTCGTCTGGAACGAAAATTCGTACATACTACCGTTAATGAATTTCGTCCGAATCCAAATGAATTGACTTTCGGACCCGAATCCTGAAAAACGAAATAACGAAAAATCTGAATGAAACGAAGGACATTTTTTGCCAGTGCACATTTTTATTCAGCACCCAATTCTGGATTGAACCAATCGCCAACACCCTTTTGCTGATATTGACCTTATTATGATCACTAATGAACAGAGAAAAACAACTCATGTAAATGATGATACCACTCAGTAAAATGGTGTCATCAGACTGCATCCACAAGTACGTCATTGTGATCCCAAAGCCAAAGGGAGCAAAATGAATCATAGAAGACGCAGTCAGAGAACAATTTAACACAGATGGTGTATTTTTAGGCTGTGGGAATGTTGATCTGTTGCAAAGAAATGTTTGAGTCATTATTACATGTGACTGTAGAATGTCTTCCTTGGTACAGAAAGTAATGACATGGACTTGAGAGACTTTGTGCACTCTGAGGTCTGCCAAGGACAGCTGTAGCTGTAGCATATGTTTACACCACACATGCAGTACAAAACACCTAAACCCAGAATAAAATGGTCTTCATTCCACAAAGAGTGATAAAAAAAAACTTCATACAAGTGTTTTATGGAAGATGGTTGCAACATCTACTCAAGGTGGCTTTTACTGCCTCCCAACTAGGACTGGATTTCATTTATTGTGCTAGGTACTGTAGCTATTTGCCTTTTATTAAAGTTGTTTTCTTTTTTTTAACAGATTTGGAAAACACTCACACGATGAGATGTCTATCCTTGAACCTCTGAATCAATGTTGCAGGTATAGTAAAATCAAGTCCCTTATATCATATTTTCATGTGTGAGGATTAATAAAGATGATGTTGCAAAGCACTGCACAAACTGTTGGTGCTGTATATAAATCTGTATGATAACATAATAATAATAATGAAATTAATAATTTGTTAAAGCTAAAATGTGAGTGTGGTCAGAGCATTGCATTTAACTATCCCAATAATTAGATCTCAGGAGAGCATGGCATAACAAAATAAGAATTAAAAAAAAAATGATTGCTGTTTGGAATGGGGCTTTAAAGTGCAAATGAAGCCAAAGGGTTTTTTTAAATTAGTTTTGGAGAGGGATTAGAATCCTTGTCAGGTTTTTATTGCTGTCTCCATCTGCCATTAGGCAAATTTCCCCTCTCTATTTGTCCTGGTGACCATTATCACTAAAAGTAAAAGTAAATCACAATTTTTGGAAAGTTCACTCATTCAGCCTTCTTTTAGCATCTTTTATTGACATAGGAAGGTAACATCACAGTGTAAAAAAAAATTTCAGAACCATGCCATCAGACAAACAAAGTGATGAAAGAACTGACATGGTTCCAAAACGTTGTTTTACACTGTGATGGGCTAGATGAGTGAATATTGGAGTGCCCGGTGACTTCCTTATCTACTACTGTTTGATTGGTGATGCCATCCGCAGTCACTGCGGCACCCACCCGCAAAATACAGGTTCTTCGACGGTCAGGAGTACAATGGGACTTTCGTGTATCTATCTTACAGGCAGCTATCCAATAAGTCTCATGTAATCTGGTTCAAAGGGTATCGAATCAGGCTGCTAAACTAATGTTAGTCCTTACTGAAAACTTTATAAAAGTATTACTCCATATTTATAAAGTACAGCATTCACTTCCCTGCAAATAACTTTTCAGTGCTAACTGAGGGGGACTCTGTGAAGCCCCAAGACGTGTTGACTGTAGCTAAATCTACCTTTTAAGAAAACTGATTTATGGCACTATTAAGAATATGTTTGGTGCTTTTCGCATCTTACACCATGTTCATATTGTCATTTTTTTCCCCACTGGGAAGATTGCTCTTCACATCCTGTTCACATTTTAGGGTATCAATTCCTGTGTACAGTTTGGAGAAGCAGTATCAAAGGAGGAGAGATTGCTTAGTCCAGTCTGATTGAATAATGATTTATAAAAGCATAAACAGCATTTGGCAAGTTCTTTTGGTTACGTAACATGTCAATATAATTCAAGCGCCTCTATCAAAACACTGTAAAAGTAATCAGTATGTCAGCGTTAGTTTTAGCTTCAGTAGTCTTAGTAATAGATTGCCTATCAAGAACTCAAGCAAGCTAGGGGGTCATTTAAAGATTTTGCTATGAGGCCCATCATATAGAGTTATGCCCCTTCCCTCTTATAAAAAAAACATAGACATGGCAGCAGGAAAACACAGATCTAATTAAAAGCTTCTGGCTTTATTTATTAAATCAGCACAGACGTCTGCATGCTTGCAGGCTATTGCCCTTTACCATGTGCTGATTTCAAAATCCTTTGATTGCATTTACAGTGTTCTGCCCCATCTCTACATGGTTCATGTATGTCTAGCTGTATAAATAGGTAAAGACAAAAATTATGTGAGTTTGTAATAAAATATTGTATTGATTGTAAATCATCTCCATAAAGACGTCAATGTTATTTCTACACAGGATCAAAAAGTCTACATACCTCCGAATGCAGCTCCTAGCAAAGGAGGAATACAAGTTGAGTAAACTGATGGAGGAGTCTTTACAAATGGACAAAATTGCCCCAATCCTCTATCAGCCACATCTTGAAGCAATGGACAGGAGGCTACGGATTGTCCTTAAAGCTGTCAGTGACTGCATAGAAAAAGACAACTATAACAGCGTGGTTGAACATGACTTGGACTCTGATGTGAATAACAAGACAACCAAGAGGTAGTGATGGGAAAAGTCTCCAAGCCCAACCAAGAAGACACAGTCTTGCCGAAGACTGCAAATGCTCCTTTGTGAATTCAGTGAATTCAGATTTAATCGTTTCCCACTGTAGAAAAGCTATAGAAACCAAGAAGGATTAGATAATGAAGAAGTCTGTAAAATAAGTAGATTATAAATGGATGTGCGTAAGACGATATGGTCAAAGACCTACAGAATCGGTTTTGGGTTCTAAACTTATCTTGATCTTTTTGTACAGATAGGAGGCCTTTATTTAAAAATAAAGATTTTTGTATTTATATATGGTATAATTATAAAATGATGATCTACCTACCACTTTTTTGGAAAACATAGAAAAGGGACAGTATAGTTTTGTTTACCTGTGATGCTGACTTGACTATACCACAATGACGCCTTCAAGATGACTTCAATCTCTTAACTTGAGTATACTGTATCTTCTGTAATTGGTATTTCCAGGGGTTAAAAATCCAAAGTCTTAAGTGTGGAGGGTTTTGTGCTGAAGTAATGCTTAGCAATTGTGGAAGCTTTACTTGAATGTTACGTATAGAGATGAGCTACTCAACTTTAAAGCAAACGGGCAGGCCTTACATACTAGACAAATTAGGAAACCTGAAATGCTCCAGGTGCTCTTAATATATCACTCCCAACATACCTTGCCCTAGGCTGACTAGCTTAGCAAGGTGAGAGGATTCATTGGGTAACAGCTGGAGCAAGTGGAGAGCAGGTACCAGGTCTGTTCTGTCATTAGCCAGGTAGCTGCCTTCTTGTGTGTGCTTTTGCTATAATTATGTAAATACTGTACATATATACATGAATATTAGCTGCATTGTGCAGCTAAAAGCTTCATTTTGCAGCGTTTTTGTGAGTTGTTTGCAGCGTGGTAAAAGTGCAATAAAAGATACAGCAAACATGTATCTAAAAGCTGTTTGTTTGTTTTTCACTTCTGAGGTTTTCAAGAATGTGGAGTATCAATCACAATTAATTTAAGATGGAAATGTGACATTTCATGCCTGAAAAGTGAACTCCAGACAGGTTGAAAAAGCATATTTGGTATCCTGTAACCGTGCTCTTAATCAATCAAGCTTTTTTATTGTACATTCCAATTCCAAACAAGTTGGGACGCTGTGTAAAATCTACGTAAAAACAGAATGCAATGATGTGCAAATCTTCTAAACCCATATTTTATTCACAATAGAAAATAGAAAACATATCAATATTTAAACTGAGAAAATGTTCACATTTAAGAAAAAAATAAGGTCATTTTGAAATTGACGGCAGCAATACATCTCCAAAAAGTGGGGACAGGGCCATGTTTACCAGAGCATTCCCCCTTCTTTTAACAACACTCTGTAAATGTCTGGGAACTGAGGAGACCGGTTGCTGGAGTTTTGTGAGAGGAATGTTGAGGAATGTTGTCCCATTCCTGCCTGATATAGGATTCTAACTGCTCTGGGCTTCCTCTCATATCACTCATGTAATAGAAAGCTTTGGCATTGGTCATGTGATCACTGCATCAGTTCATCTAATCTTGGTCTGCATTTTCTCACATGAGACAGAACAAGACTGGGGAATGGAGCAGCATTTTTATCAAGAAAGGTAAATATTTAAATGCCTTTATTATTGTTTATATCCAACCATAATTTTTAAAGCAGACTTTGCAGTAAAATGTAAGGTCTGCTTAAAGGAGAACTAAGAGGTGAGTGCTTTTCACTCACCTCATAGTTCTAGCCGACCTGTGACAATGAGACTGTCACAGGTCGGCTCAGTAGATCGGGTGGTGAGCGAACACATACCGGGTTCGCTCACCTCTCGATCCTGTCACGGCTCTCTGCCGTGACAGGGGGAGGGGCTGGATTCCCCTCTCCCCGCTCCGATCTGCCAGCGCTGACTGGCGGAACGGACGGGGGAGGGGGCGGGTACAGCTGGCTCTGCCTCTAGATAGGCAGAGCCAGCTGTCACTCACGCAGCTGGGCGGATCCCGTCGTCTAAGTCGGGATCCGCTCCGGCTGCGGCGTCTCAGTATACCGCGAGCTGTAGCTCGCGGTATACTGAGCTTAGGGTAACGGGAGGACGCTAGTTTGTGTCCTCCCGTTACCCTAAGGAGAACTATGGGGAAAAACACTGACCCCATAGTTCTCCTTTAAGTGTCCATGCCCCATCCCCTTATACAAATCATCTGCAGATAGTGTGCGCAAAATGTAACTTTAAGTTAGATTTTATAGTTACCTTTCCTCTGTCTTCCGCATGTGGCACCTAGGTGAGGGTGATGTCACACTCCCTCTAATTAGGTCCTTGGAAGTACAGAGAAGTGCAAATCTAACAAGAATATGATCTGGCAATGGATTGGAGTGTTTTCTTGTAAGATTTGGCCTGTTTCGCATTTCACAGAAATCTCGCTGGAAGGATGGCGACGTCACGCACAGCAATGCGGAAGACGGAGATATAAGGTAAGTCTAAAATCCATTCATCTGCAGGTGATTTTTACAGTGGGAGGTGTCCTAGACATTATAAGCCGACCTTGCATTGTACTACAAGATCTTCTTTAATCTAATTTTAGGTTAACATTTGAATATTCATCCAATTTAAGGCAGCTTAGAGCACTCAGGAAGAATCTAGCCATGAGACAGGACCTATAGAGCAACATTCCTTAACCTTTTAGTCATGGCACCCTTTAAAAGTATGCAAAATCTTGCGTCACCCCAATCTAAAATGTTTAAAAAAAACATACATGTAAACAAATGTCAAGGTGGTCCCTCCAAAATGCTTACCAGACCCTTATCCCAGACAGGGGTCTGATTTGAATCTGGTATGCAAGGGAACCTCACTCAAACACAAACAAATTGTATTTCCCTTTCACATCAGCATAGCCCCTTCACATCATAATTCCGCCTTTCATATCCGAGTCCCCCTTCTCACACAAAGAGCTCCCAATAACATTAGACCCCCCTTCTTTCACATTAGAGTCCTCCCTTCACGCCAGGACCCTTCCCTTTCATATCAGAGTTGCTCTTTCACATCAGAAGCCTGCCATCACAATGCAAAGGCATGACGCTGTGTAAACATTTTGAGGCATCCCCGTGGAAGGCAGCAGGCACCCCAGGGTTCCACGACACCCTGGTTTTGAAAAGCTGATATAGAGAAATTAATGTGGCCACCCTCTTTGGGATAAAGTGACTACACTCCATGATGGACAGTAAGGAAACCAAGAACTGGCTACATAGTATCCTCAAGTAGTTAGTGACCTTTCAATTGTCTGAAAAGATATGTTTCCTTTTTTAATGGAGTTTCTCTAATTGCATTACATACACTGAACCTAGAAGTGCAATAAGAAAAGAAGATACATTAATGTTCTAGATTCTCCACATAAAGAAATGCAGTGTCCCTATACTTATTAATTATTTAAGACATTCTTATAGTATAGTGAGGCTCAGCTTGCCCGTCTATTCTGTTTCCCAACAAATCTGAGACGTGATACTTCTGTTGCATGCGAACATTAATATTATATTCTCTGCTGGATCATTCCTTTGAAATATAATGACTATTAGTCTGGTAATTCATAAGCAATCAGCATTTCCCAGAAGACAAAACATTCTCTACTCGTCAGCGTGGGCCCTGGCGAGATGATCTATGTTTGCTTGAGACACTTGCAATTTCTTTTCTTTTCTCGCAAACAATGAAACAAACTGTGGATGAAAGCAACTTTCTTGTTATAGATATTGTGTAGGCAGCAGAACAAAATCATGTGTGTGTTTCTGATATCTTATTTTATTATTATTTTTTACATACAAATAAAATTAGAGAAAAGCAGGGAACAAACAAAAGTAGAGCGGTAAACAAGAATTCATCTATGTTTAAAGTTAACCTGTCAAAAACATGGACAATTCAAACCGATAAAATTATGAAACATGCATAAGCAGAGGTTATCTTCAGTGAAAATGGTTAATTGATTCCTGCTCATACATGTGTTTATCATATTTATTACATGTATTTCTATAGCGCCGACAATTTACACAGCACTTTACATAGTTGCACATTCACATCAGTCCCTACCCTCAAGGAGCTTACAATCTAGGGTTCCTATCTCACATGAATGATGTGAAACCTCGCGCCACTACTCTAATCAAGTTAAGCAGCAGCTGAAATCTGTGTGGTCAGATATAACGTATGAAATTAATGGTAAAAGCCGCGCTGTGTGAATGAGACCGCAAAGTGTCAGATATAGTAGATGCTGACCTTGGAGTAATGTGATACAATGTGTAAAAAGTGCAAAACAAAAAAGAAACGCATGTATATAACATGCACCTTAGTGTAAAAGTAATTGCTACAAAATATCCCTAATGAAAAATCAAATGCACTAAATATTAACTGTGAATCAATGTGATGCAATGTGCAAAGAATACCGACAAGAAAAACGCATATGTGTAACTTGCACTCCAGTGAAAATAATAAATGGTTAAAAAATGTCCATGATCCTGGATCTTCAATAGTCCATTAAGTAAATAGAAGATAAAACATTGGATGTAGAATAAACTTAGTCTCCTGTGACCATCAACAAAGAAATCTTCTGGAATGCACCTCACCTTTAGCAGAGACCCACCAGGGTCTGTATGCGCTGTTCCTCTAATTCAAAACAGGTAGAGGAAGCACCTGATGCCGAATACCTCCGAGTGATTACCTCCTCTCAGGTACAGACTCTCTTGCAGTCTCAGGAGTTGGAAACAGACAGTTCATCCGAATGGCCCATGCATCAAACAAAATAAAAAGTGGAAACTCGTAGTGCAGATGGTTTTAAAAGGATACTAGACTTTATTAAAAAAAGGGGAATACTACTCACAAATCATAGATAAAATTGAGGTATTTTGTAAGCAGCCACAGACACTGTGTGCAAATTGCTCAGCTCCTCTACTCCACCCTACGTACGTTACGTCAAAAAAAGGGGAATACTACATCACTGACTTCATCAGGGTCACACCCCTGATGAAGTCACGCCCTTTGACGTATTTGACGTGGGATGGGGCAGGCTGGGGGCGGGGCTGGGGAATGCCTCACCCAGCACGGAGGGCACCGCACGTCACTGATGTATGCAGTTTGGAAAAATGTCTGTACTATATTAGTCACTATCTGTGCTGTACACCAGTGGTTCTGTATGTATAATTACCAAATGGGTGCAAAAATAAATAATTTACATGGTTCATCCACTATCCTGAAATGAGGTATACCGTATTTGGCGCTCCATAAGGCGCTCCCTGCATCCATAGGATGCCGGGAGGTACTGTGACAGCAGCTGTAGTTAGTGACAGCTGAGACAGGTGGCGCTGTGATTACAGCGCCACGGTCTCAGTGATCACACAGAGCAGACGAAGAACGGACGTTCTTCATCTGCTCTAGGGCCTCTATGGTGAGCTCCTATTCCATGCCCACGGGTCCCCCAGAGGAGTGGGGGACCCCGAAAACCACGGCGGGGGGACCCAGACACGATTGCCGCTGCCGCTCGGTTTGATACAAGTGATCTGAATAGATCACTTGTATTAAACGAGTAGCGGCTTCCACTGTACATTTAGCTCTGCTTGTCCGGAGCAGGGCTAAATG